GGGTGGCCTCCCAGCACTGCAGTCCATTTTAGCCATAAAGGTTGGGCCAAAGCTAACATTTGTTATTAGACACTCTCCATGTGTATGATAACTTCCCACATATTAACTCAGTCTCCATCACAACCTTCTTAAGTATGTGCTATGAATATTTCCATTTTACATAACAGAAAATCGAAACGTAAGTAACTTGTCAGGCGTCACACAGGTAGCAAATGGCCAAGGCAAGATTGGGATCCAGAAGCCCTAGGTTTGAGATCAAGACCTTCTACATACTGATCACTGCACACCAGCTAAACTGCGATTGCACTTTCTGTCTCTGTGGGGAGGGAACTCCCTCTACGGAGCTCGCAGGGGTGAGTTGTGACAGGGAAGGAAACGCCTGCACTCTGCGTGACTTGGAACGTATGTGGGTTGCAGGGGGCTTTGCTTACTGCGTGCCAGGTAGATCCAGCCGTGAGCTCCGATTTCTCCAAGAGGACCACATCTTTCATCCCCGCTCTGGCCAGATGATAAGCCAGACTCACGCCAACACAGCCGCCTCCAATTATCACTGTCTCTGCCCTGTCTTTCCACTGTGTTTCTGCAGGTAAGGGTGGTTTCTGCCCTCTGAAAGAGAATGTTTTTAACAATGGTTAACTTTACTCAGCTACAGTAGCTATAGTGCTGGTCTGACTGATGATTCCCCTTACCCATTTCTCTGGTACTTAACACCTCGTGACGATGAGATTTGCACAGCTAACCCTGATTTAGACAACTGATTAGGAGAGGAAGAGGGAGGCATTTGAGCCTGGTTTGTTGTAGGTAACTAATATAGCTAAAGAAATGAACAAGTGTCTTTTTTTTTCCCAAAGAATCTAAAGAATAATTTTTTCTCAGTCTATTTAAAGAACACTTATAACCATTTTACTCCATGAAAAACCATAGTCGTCATAAAGGTTAGTGCCTGTATATCTTGGATAACTCCCTCCTTCCAGGTTTTCCAGCCTGAGGAGAGCCAGAGTTAAGCTCTTTCTCAGTGGCCTGCCTCCTATTGTACACATGCTTTGTTCATTTTAATTGTTGCTCGGTGGTTTGCCGTATTTGTTTGTACAACCGTCTTCCCAGCCAGATCGTGAGCTTTCTCAAGGCAGAGGCAATGTCTTGTCCATCACCGATCCTTGGCCCCTGCAGTGTCCACGTCCACATTTAGTTTGTGTGTCAAATGAATGCGTTTGAAATTGTGATGGTTCACTCTTGCTGTTGTTGTTGTTAGGTTTTTGCCATAGAGCATGTGTGTTCACCAGAGAGACACAGTGAGAAAGAAAGTGAGAAATCACTCCCCAGGGAGATGGTCACAATCCCTTCTCCATTCTCTCTCTGGGGATTTAGGCATGCATGCACATGTGCCCAGTGTGATTTTCAAGCTGCCAGGTCTGGGACTTGAACTGGAGTCACCCATGTGGGAGTTCAGCACCTTAAACACCATGCCACCTGCTGTTCTGTAATGATTTACTCTTGACCCTCTACTGACCATCCTTTTTTCTGCATAAGTCTTCAATAAAATGCAGTCCTAGTAAGGGTAGTTCTTATCCATGTAGGGGGAGTTGTTAGTATTAGCATAGGTTATACTTTTGACACATACATTTCATTCATTCGTACTTCCCTAATTCATTCATCATGTATTCCTGAGCTCCTGCCATGATGCGGGCACTATATTACATAGCGATAACGAGCCTAAAAAGACATTATCTCTACTCTCTAAAGCTTACAATATAGCAGAGGGGAGAGAGATTAATCAAACAACACAAGTGTGGAAATTACAGCGGTGGAAGTTGCTGTGAAGGACGGATAAAGATCCCTGTGAGAATGTACATGCAAGAAGGTGCTCATTCGGGATCTGAAAGATGATGAAGAACTAAACACAAGGTGAGGAGGAAAGAACATCCCAGGTTGTGGGGAGAGTTATGTGGCAGGAAAGAACAAGGCAAGTCCAGGGCACTGTAAGGCCACAGAGGCCAGAATGTGGAGGAAGGTCCCACTAGAGGGGCTCCCCAGGGAGAGCTCCCTCTGCTCTCTTTTGGTCTAGTGGATAATTGTCATATGCTAAGCACCTAAAACAATACTCAATAAATACTGTGGACGATATTAATGATTGACATACTTAAAAAAAAAAGTTGCTTATAGAGTGCATGTGCTCACAGGAGAGAAACAGAGAGAGAGAGAGTAAAAGAGAAAGTGAGAAAGCACCCCCTAGGGTGATTGGCCACACCACAATCCCTTCTCCTCCATTCTCTTCTTGGGATTTTGACATGCACACACGTGTCCAGAGTGTTTTCCAAGCCACTGGGTCCAGGACTCAAATTGTACAGTTGACCATGTGGGATCTAACCATCTTAACCACCACATCCCTGGCAGGTTTGACTCATATGCCCATTCTTACTATTTTTTCTTTCCTAGTCACTAATCCATTTCTTTTTTTTTTTTTTTTTCTTTTTTTGGAGAGGTTTTCCCTATAGGGTGTGTGCGCTCGCCAGACAGACAGAGAGAGACAGAGAGACAGAAAGCGAGAAATCACCCCCCAGGGGGGATGACCACGCCGCAATCCCTTCTCCTCCATTCTCCTCTCGGGATCTTGGGCACGCACACACACGCGCCCGGCATGAGTTTAAGCCACCGGGTCTGGGACGTGAACCGCGTGAATCAGGACATTTACTTCCCAATAGTCCTGTGCTGGTTTCCTAAGAAAAAATATATTCTCTTATATAAGGACAGTACATTTATCAATATCAAGAAATTTTACATTGACACAGTAGTATTATCTAATCTTCTTATTTATTTTATTCCATTTATAGTATTATCTAATCTTTTTTGTTATTTATTCTATTCTATTTATCATTATTAAATTTTTTCTATAGGGCATGTGTTCTCACCAGAGAGAGAGAGAGAAAGAGAGGAGAGTGAGAAAGCAAGTCACCAGGACCGGAACTTGAGTCACGGTTGCCCATGTACGAGTCCAGTGTCTCAACCACCACACCCCCTGCTGGCCCCAGTATGATCTGATCTTTAATTCATATTAAATTCAGTTAATTTTCCAAATAATGTGTGTATATTTTTTCTGGCCTGGGATCAAACCCCAAAACTTCTTTTTACTAATAGTTTCCTTTAATTTAGGATGGTTCCTTAGAATTTCTTTGCATTTTTAAAGAATACTAGCCAATTTTCTTTTAAACATTTAGTTATTTTCAGGCCACTGGGTCTGGAACTTGAACCATGGTTAGCCATGTGGGGGTCCAGTGCCTCAAACACCACGCCACCTGCTGGCCCCTAGCCAAATCTTTTCCTTTCTTTTCTTTTTGTGAAGAGGTTTTGGCTACAGGGCACGTGCGCTCGCCAGACAGAGAGAGAGAGACAGGGAGACAGAAAGCAAGAAATCACCACCCAGAGGGATGGCCACGCCACAATCCCTTCTCTTCCATTCTCCTCTTGGGATCTTGGGCACACACCCACACGCGCCCGGCATGAGTTTAAGCCACCAGGTCCGACACGCGAACCACCGTCGACTACGTGGGAATCCAGTGACATAGCCATTACTCTAACTGCTGGTCCCTAAAGCAGAACTGTTATTTTTTGTTTTTTGTTTTTTGGTTTTTTTGTTTTTTGAGAGGTTTTTGCTATAGGGCATGTGCACTCACCAGACAGACAGAGACAGACAGAGAGATAGAAAGCAAGAAATCACCCCCCCCCGGGGGGGATGGCCACGCTGCAATCCCTTCGCCTCCATTCTCCTCTCAGGATCTTGGGCATGCACACATATGCGCCCGGCGTGAGTTTTAAGCCACCTCATCTGGGACTCGAACCGTGGTTGACTACATGGGAGTCCAGTGACATAGCCATTACGCTAACTGCTGTTCTCTAGCCAGTTATTTTATAGAACACATCTTACTCTGAGTTTGTCTAGTGTCTCCTCAGGGTGAGATACAGCTGACACACTTTTGGCAAGAATATCACTGAAGGGCTACTGTGTCCTTCCCAGTGCACATGATCAGGAAGCACTTGATGTTGCTTTGACCCATCATTAATGGTGTTTATGTCTGTGACTTCCTTGAGGTGGTATCTGTCAGATTTAGCCAGAAAAGTTACTACTTCTCTCATTTGCAACTATATGTAATAATGTAGGGTTACATTATGAGACCACATAAATATCCTTTCTATATCAAACTTTTATTAAGTGGTTTTAGCATCTATTGATTAGTACCTAACTCTATCATTCCTATTATACTTATTAGTTGGCATTCTATTAGAAGTTCTATTCTTTTACCCCTTTTTGTTGCTGATATTAATATGAACTTATGGATATTTATTACATTCAGTGAGTTATCATCCATTAGTGTTCATATTTATTTTTACTTTTAAAATAATTATTTAAGATTACTTATTATTACTATTATTATTATTATTACTAACATTAATTCACCAGGATGGACAGAGAGAGGGAGAGTGAGAAAGCAAGCCATCAGATCTGGGACTCAAATCATGTTTGACTATGTGGCAGTCCACTGCCTTAACCACCACGCCACCTGTTGGCCCCTCATAATTTATTTTAAGGCCAAATTGTCCCAGATTTTTTGACCAGTAAGAGGCCTTTTTTTTTTTTCTTAAATAGAGTTTTTTTGCCTGAGGATACACGTTTTCCACTCATTCTCCTCCTGGGATCTTGGGCACACATATGCCCAGCATGATTTTCAAGCCACTGGGTACAGGACTGAAACCGTGGTTGGTCGTGTGGGAGTCCAGCGACCTAACCACTGCGCCATCTGCTGATCCTCCACAAGAGGTCTTTAAGTGGATTTCTATGTCCTTTTGACATGGTCCCATGGTTTTTGGAACATTTATTTTTAGGGGCTTTAAAAAATTCATGGAAAAATGAAATTAAAGTATGAGTTTATAGGGAGTCCAAAAAACTCATGGAAAATGTATATTATGAAAAAACTATACATGGATTTCAACATATTTTTGCACCAAAACATGAGCAACTGCAAAAAGTTGACAGAATGGCAGGACCAGCAGTTGGCATAATGGCTATGTCTCTGGACTCTCATGTAATCGACTATGGTTCGAGTCCTGGACCTGGTGGCTTAAACTCACACCAGGCACGTGTGCATGCGTGCCCAAGATCCCAAGAGAAGAATGGAGGAGAAGGGATTGCAGCATGCCCGCCCCCCACCAGGGGGTGATTTCTTGCTTTCTGTCTCTCTGTCTCTCTCTGTCTTTTTGGTGAGTGCACGTGCCCTATACCAAAAACCTCCCCCCCCAAAAAAAAAAAAGTTTACAGAATGGCTGACCCTGTGGCCTGTGGTGGTTAAGGTAGCTGAATCTCATATGGCCAACTGCATGGTTCACGTTCCAGGCCTGGTGACTTGAAAAGTAATCCAGGTAAGTGTGCGCTCGTGCCCGCAATTCCAACAAGATGAAGAAATGGAGTAGAAAAAATTGCAGCATGACTACACCTCAGTGAGTGATGCTTTGTCTCTACATATACCTCTCTGTCTCTCTCTAGCAAGTTCGCGTGTACTCTGGCAAAATCTTAAAAAAAGGAATTAAATAATTTGACTTATGATTTTTCAATATAGAACTATGCATTGCTAAATTAATACAGCATAATACATTTTTCGGTAGTCATGAATTTTTCATTTTATTTGCCTATTCAGGTTCTTTATTTTCTTTTTTTAAGGAGTTTTTGCCTCAGAGCATGAATGCTTGCAGGTGAGAGAGAGTCAGAGACAGCAAGAGGAAAAGTGAGAAATCACCCCCCAGTGGAGGTGGCCATGCAGCAATCCCTTTTCCTCCATTCTCCTCCTGGGATCTCGGGCATGTGTACAACCCACATGATTTTCAAGCCTCCAGGTCAGGGACTCTAATCCTGGTCTGCCATGTGGATGTTCAGCGACGTAACCGCTTTGCCATCTGCTGGCTCCTTCTAATCAGGTTTTTAAAAACTCAACTCAAGTTTATTTATCTATTTGCATAGAATAGAAAAGTATCATTATTGTAATACTTTTGCGATGCTCTACCGTTTACAAAGCACTTCCACAAACATTCTTTTACTTAATATTTGCAGTGGTCCCATGAGCTAATACCAGTATCCCTATTTTATAGATGAGGACATTAACACTCAAGCAGAAATAGTGACTTGGCGGCTATTGTATTTTCAGCATCAGGGACAAGCCCAGCACGTCATAGACACCCAGTAAATATTTCTTAATGAGAGGATGGATGGATGAAACACAAAAGCAGGTAGTTTCTAATTTCAGAATTTCAGGGCAAAGTTTATACCAAGATAAGTCAACTCTTAACAATGCTGAGTGATGCTCAGCAGAAGCCTGACCTGGCAGCCACCAATAACCTAATGTACTAACGTACGGAAGTCCGAAGCTGCTCAGCATTGCTCAGATCTAAGTACAGACCAGTAAAAACAGGAAAATCCCATTTCCACCTATCAGATTTAGCAGAGATTAAAAAAATTTAAAAAGTGCTACTCTCTCGGAATTGAGGAGGATGTGGAGAACAGACGCGCACTGACACGGGCTATGCGAACTCTCACCACCCATTTGGAGGGGAATTTGTCGCTGTTCTTAATATTTCAGAAGAAGAGAATCCTTTCCCTAACAATTTCACTTTAAAAACTTGATTCTATAGGCTCCCATATGTACTCCAAAATATATACATAAGAATTTTCACACGCACATTATTTGCAATAACGAACAAATGGAAATAATCTAAATGAATAGCCTACTTAATTATATTGTGGAATATTAACAGAATGAAAAACTATGCAGCTTATACAACGAGTAAGGTAAGGGTTCCTGCCCTCATAGCACAGGGCTCAACGGAGCAAGATCCCACGTGACACACGCAAACTGAATCCCAAACGAGTGGGCCTACCTGCTCAGAGTCACTGAGACACAGAAATGGAGGGGCAGGGACTGCAGGTGACCACGCCCCGCTGAGGGGGGGTTTTGCTCTCTCTCTCTCTCTCTGTCTCTGTCTCTCTCTCTGACAGGCTCACTCCCCCTCTGGCAAATCACATAAGACAAATTACTATGTGCTGATATGGAACCATCTCCAAGACATATTTATCATCGTAAAAAGCAATTACAACGTGAAATTGTGAGGCAAGGAAGAACATACGCAAGCCTGCCATCGCCTCCGATAGACCATCTCTGGGTAGATAGGGGGCCACTCTCCACATTGTGAACCTGGCGAAGGGATGGAGGCAGGAGAGGCTGCGCTGGGAAGTTTTTGAAACTGTTTCTGTTAGTAATTAATAGAGATTTCAAGCAGAAATCCCAATGTCCATTTCTCTCCTAAGCCTGGAGGCAGCTTCAGAGCCTAGCTCCCCTACCCGCTCAGCTCCTGGGCCGCCGACCCGCGTGCTGGCCTCCGCGCAGGCGGGATCTCACTCACCCGTCCTGGCTGCAGAGGGAGCGCGGGCCTCCAGAGGAGCCCCGCGGCGGGGAGCTCCACAGCGGGAGGGTCCGCAATCGCCGTGCGCCCCGGCAGAGCATGGCGAGGCCGAGGCCGAGGCCCAGGGCGCCGGCTCAGGCACCTGCTCTGAGTCCAGCGGACAACCTGGGCCGCGGGATCGCCTGGGCGGAGGCCAGGCCCTCCTCCGGGCGCTGGGAGGAGGGCGGACTCCTGCAGGGCGGTGTGCTCAGGAACCTGCGCCCGCAGATCGAGGCACGATGGCTGCAGCCCGAGGCCCAGGGACCAAAAGGGTGAGTGTCCCTCCTTTCTTCCACGCGGAGCCTCTGGACAGTCGGAGACTCGAGTTCAAATCTTGCCCCTAGCCAAGCTCTGCGGCCTTGATAAAGTACCTGGCTGGAACAGCTCCGAGGAGCCTGTTCACCCGACCGCGCCCTCGGGCTGGTTAACATTTTGCAGCACTTAGTGCACCGCAGGAGCAGCGTGCTTTATGCAGATCTTCCCGGCTTCCTCCTTATCCCCATGATGCAGGTGAGGAAACCAGGGCTAGCGCAGGGTCAGCAACCTAGGCCCAGTGGAGCGGGGCTTTGGACTTTCAGACTCACAGACCGGGCTCTCGTTTTTTTCTCCTCTCGACTTGCCGCGCCTGCAGCTCCTTGGGCTCACTCAGCCTCAGAGCATGTCTGAGTTTTCATCTGGTTTCCGGGAAGGGGACAGCCTGGCCCTTGGAGTCGCTGGGTGGCTTAAAACCAGTCCTGGGCTAGGATACACCTGAGCCGAGGGGGTGTGGGTGGTGGTGCGTGAGGCTCCTGGTATCACCACTTGTAGGCTGTGTGTGTGTGTGTGTGTGTTGGGTAGGGGGTGTAAGTCGTTGAGGGGGAATACACTTGAACACCAGCCATCCCCGGACCCATCAAAGCAGCCCTCCCCAGCCCCAGTAGCGCAGAATGTGGAAGGGGAGGGGTGATGAGAAGTGAGCACCGCTCATTTATTATACCACAAAGGCGGAAACAACCACGATGGAAGTGTTGCTCATCTGCCTGTTGGAAAGCCCAGAATGGGAACAAAGTGCTTTGATGATATATTTCTTTTTCTCCTTTTTTTAATCATTAAAAAAATCTTCTATTTATATCAAACTGGTTGTAGCTACATCTCTCCAATATTTTCCCTCTACTACTAAGATATTGATGAGGGGGACTGGCAGGTGGCATGGTGGTTGAGGGCGCTGGACTCCCACATGGCCAACTGCGGTTTGAATACCAGCCCTGGCATCTTGCTTTCTCTCTCTCTCTCATTCTGTCCCTCTCTGGTCAAATTAAAATAAATAAACAAGTTAAATAAAATAAATTCTTTAAAAAAAAGATATTGATGAGAACCTCTTCCAAATAGTTCAGATATAGTGCTTTTGCAATATTAAGTTACAAAAGGAGGTATATCACAAACTGATCTCAAGGACATTTATATAGAGAGACCTATTATATGTAATAGATTCATGTACTATATGTAATGTATTTACACATTTATATATTTACATATATAGTGCGTGTTATATAGTGTGTGTATATATATATGTATACATATATATACATATACTGTTATGGAAGGACACAATAATGATAACAGTTACAAAAAATGAAATATAGGCCTAAAGACATGTTTGAGGATATGTGTTTCTTATTATGTAAGTAAAATGTGACTTAAAGAAAATAAGGTCAATTAAAAGATAAAGAAGTAAAGAATGTTGTGCTGGTTTCTTTCTCTACAAATTTTCTAGTAAGCGTTCTTTTTTTTTTTTTTGGAGAGGTTTTTTTCGCTATAGGGCGCATGCACTCGCCAGACAGACAGAGAGAGACATAGAGACAGAAAGCGAGAAATCACCCCACAGAGGGGATGGTCACGCCGCAATCCCTTCTCCACCATTCTCCTCTCAGGATCTTGGGCATGCACGCACACGCACCCGGCGTGAGTTTTAAGCCACCGGGTCCGGGACGCAAACCACGGTCAACTACGTGGGAGCCCAGCAACATAGCCATTACACTAACAGCTGGTTCCCGTGAGCATTCATTTTTATAGTTCATTTTTTTAGAGGTTTTTGCTATAGGGCACGTGCGCTCGCCAGAAAGACAGAGTGACAGAGAGACAAAAAGGGAGAAATCACCCCCCCCCAGGGGGGATGGCCACACTGCAATCCCTTCTCCTCCATTCTCCTCTCGGAATCCTGGGCATGCACGCACATGCGCCAGCGTGAGTTTAAGCCACCGGGTCTGAGACTCGAACCACAGTCAACTACATGGGAATTCAGCAACATAGCCATTATGCTAACTGCTGGTCCCTATAGTTCATTTTTTTTTTTTAAAGGCCATCCCTGTTCAATTTCTCTGGGGCCTCTGTTCCTGCAACATCAACATGTATACCTGGTGTATTAGAACTAATCTCACCCTTCTTCTCAGCTAACAGGTACATTTCATCATCATAAGTGACACTTCTGATCAGTTCTGTGTTTTGTTTAGAGAGATTTTTGCTCTAGGGCACATGCACTTAGCAGAGAGACAAAGAGAGAGAAAGTCAGAAATCACACACACACACACACACACACACACACACTTGGGGGGATGGCCATACCACAATCCCTTCTCCTCCATTCTCTTCTTGGGACTTTGGGCATGCACACACACATGTCTGGCATTAATTTCAAGTCGCTGGGTCCAGGACTCAGACTATGGTCAGCCATGTGGAAGTCCAGCGACATAACCATTATGCCACCTGCTGGCCCCATGATAAGTTTTTCAATCCAAGAAAGCAGTCCTGCTGGCAACTGCAGGACAGAGAGACATTACAGGCAGGTTATCTTTCTGGCTACCACTTGCCAAAGGCTAAAGTTGATCTCCCGGGAGTGTGAATAGAGTTGCCTTGAAACCAGATCTTAGATCTGGAGGTCTTCAGTATTGGCGTCTGCAAACAGTGGGCATAAATGTACCCCAGAGCTCAGTCCTGGATCCAAGGCAGGTTCACTGCTAAACTAAAAGGGAAGATGGACCGAAAATATTAAAGTTCTACAAATTAATTGACAGTGCTGCTGATTTTATTACTTATTTGATTCTTCTGTCAGATAGTTACCCCTGACAGGATCTTTACGCAGTGATCCCCCTGAGCCTCAGCCTGGATCACGTCTGGTGTTAAAAGGAGACCTCCTGAGGTGAACCCAGGACCAACCCACGTGACTTCAGCATCACTAAGTGTCACACTACCACCACAACTGGCCACGTGCTTATTTTACAGCTTCCTGTCCTTGCCATCCTAGAGCTGTCTTTCCATCACACGAGTGGGTAGTTACGAGGCGAGGTGTTAAGAGCAGGCGAGGCTAGACAATTGTCTGCCTTCAAATCTTGGTAGTTATTTTGCTAATGGCTGGTTAGAAATCTAGAAAGTTAAAATGTTGGACAAACATTCAGAAAGCAGATGAAAGTGTGTTACCTTTACTTGGCATCATAAAAACGTAGTTAAAATATGTATATAATTTTCTTAAAACACTAGCTATTTTTCTGTTAAACAGTGACTGATATTTTTTTTCCTCCTCAGGACCAAACTCATAGCACATGTGACACATCAGATCTTTCAAAAGCAGTCGTGGCTCTCTGTTAACTCTTAGCATAGTTAATTATGGGCTTACTCTTAAAATGAGGTGGTAGGGACATAGACAAATAAGATGTCACCAGCCCACAAGCCTCTTTCAGTCAAACTAAGAGACAGGCCGGTGCCTCGGTACTGCGGGGCAGGAAGGTGCAGGGTAGGGGAGCTACGACTTGTGCAAGACCCAAGGAGGGGCGATCACAAGTGAGAGGAGGTCAGACCGGCAAGGCTTTGCTGTGGTCCCGGGGAAGATATTTAGAGGAGGGCTGGAGTGACCCGGAGGTCATTTTAGTCACCCCCTGGTGGATCCGCTTGTCTTAACCCCGAGACAGGTTGAATATGGGAAGCGAAAGACTAACTTGTAATACCTGAATTCTGTGTTAGTACTTTTCTCCTCTAGAATTGTCAGGTGCGATAATTAGATTACTGGAGCCGCAGGTGGTGTGGAATCACAGCAAACATTAACATTTCTTCCACATGGAGCTACACTTTAGCTTGAAGATTCTGAACTCCCACATGGCTGACCGCAGTTCAAGCCCTGGACCTGGCGGCTTGCTTTCTCACTTTCTGTCTCTCTCTCTCTTCTCAGTCTCTCTCTCTGGTGAATGCATGTACCCTATATCAAATGAATAATAATAATAATAAATTAAATAAATAATTCTAAAAACAAAATGAATATTAGATTACTAATTGCTAACATAGTTAACTTATTGAGGTACTGGGCTGTTGGACCAGCAGATGGCATAGTGGTTACATTGCTAGACTCACACATGGCCGGCCGTGGTTTGAGTCCTGGACCTGGCAGCTTGAAACTCATGCTGGGGATGTGTGCATGCATGTCCAAGATCCTAGGTAGAGAATGGAGGAGAAGGGACTGCAGTGCAGACATTCCCCCTGAAGGGTGATTTCTCAGTTCCCCTCTCACTGTGTCTGTCTCTCCAGTGAGTGCAAAAGCCTCTTTAAAAAAAAAGATTGAGTTGTTAAAAAAAATTAGGATGCATTTCTGCATAGAAAAACAGAAAAAATGCATCATGACTTTTCTGACAGACCTATATAATTTATTTTCTTTATTTTATGATTATTTTTTTAATGACCAGAGAATGCATGTGTTGGCCAGAGAGAGAGGAAAGAGAAAAACACCCACCAATGGGGCGTGGTCCTGCTGCAAACCCGTCCTCTCTGTTTCCCATCCTCAGGATTTGGGGCACACACATGTGCTGGGTGTGTTCTTCAAGCCAGAGATTGGGATTCGAACTATGGTCAGCCATGTGAGATCTAGCTCCCTTAACCACTAGGCCTAGAGGCAGCCTGGAAGTATACTAGATTTTCAAGGAGAAATTTGTACAGAATGATGGCACCTCTGGTTCTCCCTCTGTACTCTTCTGCAGCATTTACTTATTGCTTTATGTTGTCATTATTTGTAGACTGACCTTCCCCAAGTGGCCGACTTTGAGCTTTTCGAGGCCAGAGACCTTGTCTCATTCCAACATTTGTCGCTCTTGTCTTGAATTGTAGTTGGTATGTGAGAACAGCTCAATAAAAGTTTGAAGAGTAAGTCTTTTTTATGTTTCAAAAGGATAACATGAAAAGAGTAAATTGCATTTTATGGAGTACAGAGGAAGGTGGGAATCACAGAAACATTAACCTTTCTTCTACATTGAGCTAAACTTTAGCTTGAGATACAAAATACGGGAAAATAACCAACATCAGGCATTCGAGTCACCAAAACAGCATTTATGATTAACACAGCTCATACAGCAGGCTCTATCTGACTGCCCTCACTATGCAGTAAAAAAAAAAAAAAGGAGAGGTTGTAGATCTCATGACTTGGTTCTTAGCGCCCAGTGCGATTCCATAGAACCCGCCTCCTTGTACTGCAGAGGAACAAAAGCTAAACACCTTTCCGGATTTCGTGCAGCTTAGATTCTGATAGGAATCAGGCCCCTCAGACTGACACTCCTGTCTGAGCCTGAGAAGGTAGAAGCCTGGCAGGCTAGGCCGCGTCCAGCAGCCCAGTGTCCAGGGTCCAATTGAAGGGCAGCAGTGGAGACAGCGGCCTCCTTGCCCCTAGATGGTACACTGTGTGAGGTACTCCCAAACCAGCGGCTCAGCACTGGCTTCTTTACTTATGGCACAGGACGCAGCCCCTGGCAAGCCAGCGCAGTGCTGTTTGCTAGACGTCATTGTAAGGAGTGCAGTGTACATTTTTATGCACCCATTTATCGGTATCAAATTCCTTCCTGCTCACACAGCTAGAGTGGTTTGTATTTTCTGCAGAGCTGAACATGGGGATAGGGCAGAATAAAGCCCCTCTCTAGTCGTGTCCTTGGATAGAGATTAATGAATTATTCCAGTCACGTTTTGCCTCCTTTATTTGGTTTGGTACCGTTAACAGGCCCATCTGGGAGGGAGAACAAATTGGGCTCTGTGGGATGACCTTACCGTGTACCCTTTAATTCCTGGTTGTTTTTATTAGACCTCAAAAGACTCAGGGAAGGACACTGGCTCTTGTGAACAAGATCAGATAAGCTGCATTCTTAGTCTATTGTCTCAACCACCTCCCAGCCTCCTGGAAAGAATATTGAAGAAAATAATATATCGAGCAATATAGACAAAATGTGATCAGGATCTTTTTGTTCATCAGTGTCTAGGAAGTTTAGGGACCTAACTTTGACCTCAGTCCTGACCTTAAACCTAAGCCTGACTTAACCCTAGCCAAAGGGATGGAGCAGGAGAAATGGCAGATGACAGCCAGTTTCCCTCTGTTCTCTCCCCCACCTACACAGCACAGTTGAGGCTGGACGCCTGAGCATTCGCGGCATTGCCTGACGCCCCTGGCAGCCAGGTATAGCCTGTGGTTAAACACCCACTTAGGGAGTGTGAGTGGAAGGGGTAAGAGTCGCTTCCAAGTCTGGGCTCAAAGTTCGAGGATAAGTTTTATCACACTTCGTTTTCTCATCATTTAAGACATATGTGAACATGACTCTGACCCAGTTTTAAGCATGCCAAAGAGAACAGTACCCCGGGGCAGTGCTTGGCCAGTGTTTTCTGCAAAGGCCCAGGCAGTGACTCTCAGTTTTGCGGACCAGGCAGCCCGGGAGGAACCAGCCAGCTGTGCTGTTGCAATGTGAGAGCAGCACAGACCACCCACAGGCAGCGGGCGATAACCCTGTGCTCTGTGTTTACTCAGGTTAGTGGTGGCCACAGGTGGCCTTGGACTGTCATGTGCTGGCCATGCCATGGGGAAGGGCAAAGTCACAAGAAGAAAGGACTGTGCACTTTGGGACTCTCACGTGAGGAAAAAAATGAACTACCTCTAGTTAAAGCCGCTGTCTGCGAGGCCTCTTTGTTACAGCTGCTTAACTTACTCTAAGCCCGAGACTACCCCAGTATGCTGCCTTTGTACCCTGCCTGAGGTCTTCCTCGAATTTGGGAACTGAGGGATTGTACACTGATCTCCCAGGACAGTATAAGTGGTTAGAAGGGGCGCCTGGAGGCTTTTCTCCCTCTTCACGCACTGCTCAGCATCCAGTGAGCAGGCCTGAAATTTGCTGGTCCATGATCTCCTCCCTTCTTCCTTCCTTATTTCCACCATCCCTCGCTCCCTCCCTTCCTTTCTTTCTTCCTTCCTGCCCTTCCCCCTCCCTCCCTCTCTCCCTCCCTCCCTCCCCCCTTCCTTCCTTTCCAGACAGGGTCTTGCCTTGCTGTGTTGTGTTCCTCCTGCCTCAGTCTCCAAAGTAGCTGAGACCGCAGGCACCTATCACTGTTTTGGGCTGTTCCAGGCAGGGTCTCTCGAGGTCGTCCTGGTCAGCTCAAGCTCATGGCCTTTCTGTCTCAGCCTCCTGAATCACGAGGGTTACAGGTGCACACCTCTGCCTGGCCTTCAGGGTGGATCAAGAATTGAACCTGCGCTTCCCATGTGGTCCCGGCCTGCAGAGCAGCGTCTAAGCAGTGTGCAGCACTGCAGCTGGGCCTGACTGGCCTATTTTGAGTACAAGGTCATCTTCAACTAATGCAGTCTACACATGCAGGATCAGGGGTTGCTATGTGGGTGGTTGCAGTAGATCGGGAAGGGCTCTCTGGAAGAAATGACATTTGACCAAGGACCTGAAGGAAGTGAAGGGAAGATCCATGCACCTGGGGGAGGAGTGATTTAGACCAAGGAAACAGCAACCCATGGCTAGCTGCTCTAGACACAACGTTTTGAGTAGGTTATAGGTGAGCTGAACAGACAGGTGGAAATCAGAGAGAGAGAGAGAGAGGGAGAGGGAGAGGGAGAGGGGTAGGAACTTAGAAGCTCTAAAGTCTGCTTTCTTACTTAGCTCTACGATCTTAGATAAGTCACAACTTTTCTCAGTTCCTTCATTTATGAAACTGTCAGCCCTGCCTGTTCACAAAGTTTTGGGCAATACCAAATGTAACCGGCTGGGCAAATGGAGGGCATGATTCTGAAATGTCGTGTCCGTTAGGGTTATGTTCAGTGGCTCTCATACATAGGAGGTTTCTTGCTGGGCAGTCCATGGTGCTGCAGCTGCTCAAGGACGGCATTAGGAAACCAAGCTCCTGGCCCAGCGTGCCAGCACAGGCAGAAGGGCAGCTGCTGTGCAGGGCTAGAGACCATTCGGAGTTCCCGGTTTGCATCCTGAACATGCTGGACACCCCCTTGGGCATGCCTCTGATCCTGGCTGGCTGCAGGCCTTGGGGAAAGAATGTATATGAAGACCCTTTCAAGGGTGCATCTCTCTCTCTTTTTTCCTTATATGAAGGAAATAAATGAATTGTTTTAAATAAAATTTTCATTCTGTTATTGTACCAAAGGGTGTGTGCCGGCACACCAGAGAGGGGAAGAGAGTGAGAGGAGGAGAGAAAACAATGGGGCCCTGGTCGCAGTGCAATCCTTTTTCCTTCAGTTCTCCACACTCTCAGGATCCTGGGCACATGCATGTACATCTAGTGCATAGTGCAAAGTGCATAGTCCTGGGGCTTGAACTCGAACCCTGGCCAGCCATATGTGATCTGGCTTCCTCTGCACAGCATTTAACTGCTGGATTACAAGGCTGGCCCAATAAATAAACTTCATTAAAAGAAAAAATCACACACAAGTAAACTTCGGTACCAGTCAGCTCCAGCCTTAACAGGAAGTTTTCAATGGCATAGCACAAGAAGGCTGCTGTATCCCCAGACGTTATACTGACATTCCAGCCGGGAAGGAGCAAAGAGACAAGATGGTAGTGGGCATCTGCATAGGAAAGCAAAACTCTTCTGGAAATTCTCAGCTTCCTTCCTTCTATGTCTCGCTGGCCAGCACTGAGTCATGGGCCAATCCCAGAAGCAGGGGAGCCTGGGATTTTTTTTTAACTGGGGACATTTTCTCCCCATACAGAATACAGCAGCAAAGAAAAAGGGAGAGAATGCACATTAGTTAGGCAACTAGCAGCGTGGCCACAAACATGTTGAAAAATCATAACTATCAGGGAATCAGCACTTTGACTATAACTTGACTCAGATCAAATGTAGAGAAAAAAAGAGTCACTGTCCTTTGATTGCACAGAACAGTACTTAAATTGGCCAAAAGCGATAGTATGTACAATCTTTCTGAAATTCTATTAGACTATTAGGTTTCCTTTTCTCTGGTGACGGGATCTTGGTATGTTGTCCGGGCTGGCCTTGAACTCTGGATTCTCCTGCCTCACCCTCCCAGGTAGCTGTCAGTGTTGGCATGCACCCCTACACCTGACTAGACATGATACTAACAGATCTAGATCTCTAAGAATGTAATAGTACATTTCCTAAAATTAGAAGTTGCTTATAGAGAAAGAAAAGTGATGGTGTGGGACCAGCAATTGATGTAATGGCTATGTCACTGGACTCCCATGTAGTCGACCACGGTTCAAGTCCCAGAACCCGGTGGCTTAAACTCATGCCTGGGGCATGTGCTTACATGCCCAAGATCCCGAGAGGAGAATGGAGGAGAAGGGATTGCGGCGTGGCCATACCCCGTTGGGGGGCGATTTCTTGCTTTCTGTCTCTCTCTGTCTTTCTGGTGAGCACACGCACCCTATAGCAAAAACCTCTAAAAAAAAAAAAAAAAAAAAAGCAATGGTGGAGGAGGCCCCAGGTGATTTTTTCCCCTCGTCTCTAGGGTATTTTGGAGCGTCTGGAGAGTGGAGAGGTTGTGATTGGAGATGGCAGCTTTCTCATAACCCTGGAGAAGAGAGGCTACGTGAAGGCTGGGCTCTGGACTCCAGAAGCAGTAGTGGAACACCCAGATGCAGGTTGGTACCCACATCACCTGAGACTGACTACCCGAGGGACACTTGGCTTAAATCTGATTGGGAGAAAATCAGGAAACAATAGCAAGTGTTTCAAAGGACTATTTCGGCCCAAATTGCTGGTGTGTAGACAATGGTAGTATGTGAACTGAAGCACATAGAAGAAAATCACCTCTCTCTCTCTCTTTCTCCCTCTCTCTCCTTCACACCCACCCACCCACACACACACACACAGAGTGGTATCTTCATGTATAGGCAGTGCTAAAACATACATCTTAATATTTGTCACATGAATATGTACCTTGTGGATGTTCAAAGTACTTCCAATTCATCCCGATAATGACTGTATGGCATTACGACTGCGTGTACGGTAAGGATGATGAATGGTGGTCACTAGCTTAACAGAGCCCAGACAGCCAGACTCTGGCGATGGGAGTATAAAGAAACAAACACGGTTTCCTATGCTACTCCAAGCTGGGGAAAATTTTAAGTTGGAGGTAGAAACTATTACAGAAGTGGTTAGTAATAGAAGTTTGGGACCTTAATTCTATTATGACTCTTTGTGTATGTTTATACTCCCATATTAAACTGGGGAAATAAAGTCAAAGAATGAAGTGGGTGAAACAGAATTTGAGCTAAAAAAAGAACTTTAATTCACTCAAATGCATTCACACGCAGACAGTGTTTCAGACAAACCTGGCTTCATTGTAGTTCCTCCACTGACCAACCATGTGGCCTTGGATAAGTCACTTGACCTCTCCAAGAATCCATTTCTTGATCTGTTACATGGAGGCACCATGTGGGCTGGTTGTAAGGACCCATGAGTTAACCCATATGAAATACCAGCATATTTTAAGTACCTGGTGACTGCAATTTTTTTCCCTCCAATTCTCTATTCTGTCAGACACCCCCGTGGTAGGACAGAACAAAGTTTTGGCTGTCTAGTTCTTATCTTGTTCTTAATTTTAGATCTTTTTGCTAAACCAAGAAGAGAGTGTTTAAATAGCAAGGATACGGATACAAAGAGGAAGGTGAAGGTGGTGAAGAGATAGAAAGGAACAACTTTCTGACAGCCAAGGAAAATTTTCAGACTGCTTTCTGACTGTTTCCCCAGAAGCTCACTGTTGAATCAGTTTGGACACACACATATTCCTACTCTCTATGAGAATGTCCTCATTCTCCTTTGAGGGCTACCTGATGTTGACTTACTAGACCAGTCACATCCTTCACCACACTGATACATGAATAAACCTCTCTAGACCAAGAGACCAAGGGACAGCTGGTCAACCAGGCCTTAATCACCACATGTGATTGCACTAGGCCAGGAGGCCCATTTCCTGAACTGTATGAGTCTTCTCTAAATAGTACATTCAGTCTTTGAATTCTACTGACCTTAACGTGCAACTTTGTGTCACTACTAGGTTGGGATGATTGCAAGAGATGGGAGTGAGTGAGCTGCTGCTGTTACAAATGATAGTTTCTGTTACACATGATAGTTTCTGTTTTTAAAATTCCAATTAAACCTAACTACTTCATAGTTCATCAGCTTCACATGGAATTCTTGAGAGCAGGATCAAATGTCATGCAAACTTTCACCTTTTCTGCCAGCGAGGACAATATGGAAAGCAAGGTAACTATAATGGGGGGTGGGGGGTTAAGGGAATAATTTATAATAAACACAACCTCTTCATGGAAAGCTATGGAATTCACTTACGTTATTATCATTTACTGTAAAATCTACACATAATACTAATGAATTATTATTAAGTTGTCAGAAAAGTCATGACATTTTTCTATGTAAAAATGCATCATGACTTTACCAACTACCCAATATATAGAAATGTATACTAAACTTATGAGCTTTCTCCCATTTTAGATAGAGGAAGGGAGAGGACTCTACTTTTAGGTAAAGGAAGGAATAACCCAACGGAGGGGAGAGAAAGAACACTTTGAGGATGCTCCTTTTTTTTTTTAGTTTTTGTTTGTCTATTTGTTTGTTTGCCATAGGTTGTAATGTGTGCTTGCCAGAGAGAGACAGAGAGAGGGAGAGTGAGAAGTCATTCCCGGGGTGGGGGATAATGACCACACCACAGTCTGCGTGCACATGTGCCTGACATGATTTTCAAGCTGCCAGGTCTGGGACTAGAACTGTGGTTGGTCATGTAGGAATGCAGCACCTTAGCCACCCCACCACCTGCTGGCCCCAAGGAGGCTCTTTTTAATTCCTCATTTAAAATTCTACATTTCTACTTTGTCCATTGAAGATGGGGGCTCTGAAAGAACATAGGACTGGCCTAGAAAGGAGAACAATTGGGCATGACAGTCAACTTTGCCATGTGTCAGCTGTGTAATTGTGTGCAAGGCACTTAACTGCATCGAGCCTTGGTTTTTCTCTCTGTAAAAGGAGGCGACAGCAATGCCTTGGCTCATAGACCTGTCGAGAAAAGTAGATAGGTGGAAGGATGTGGAAGCACTGTGAATAATTCTGCAGCTATAAAGTGCTAACACTTGTAAAAGTAAGTGCCCATTTATAGGGACCAGCAGATGGCATAATGGTTATGTTACTGGACTCCCACATGGCTGAATGTGGTTCAGGTCCTGGACCCGGAGGTTTGAAACTCATGCCGGGTGCTTGTGTGCGTGTGTGCTGAAAATCCTGAGAGGAGAATGGAGGAGAAGGGAATGAGATGTGGCCATCCCTTCTGGGGGTGATTTCTTGCTTTCTGTCTCTCTATCCCTCTCTGTCTCTCTGGTAAGCACACATGCCCTAGAGCAAAATTTTCTCTTAAAAAAAAAAAAAAAGGAAATGCCCATTTATTCATTCAATCAACCAACATCTGTCAAGTACCTATTAGTCTGTTCTCTATGCTAGATACGGAGATGATGCAAAGGCAGAGAGACCCTGTTTGGGAGAGGCTCACAGTTAAATGGGAGGCAAATAAACAATTACTAAAATCCGGTGTGATGAGTACAGTGATGGGAATCCGATGTCACTGTGGCAGAAGAGCTTGTCCCCCCTCTCGTAACATGGTCCCCATGGGCGACTTGTACTCATTTACTTGCTCACTGCCCCTTTGTTACCTATTATATGAACCCTTAAAGTGCCAAGCACACCATCCGAGCTCTCGCTCTCTCATCTCAGTGGGAAGACGTAAATGCCGCTGCCTGTGAGCTCGCCCAGGAAGTGGCTGCCAAAGGCGATGCTTTGGTAGCAGGTGGGATCTGCCAGACATCAATTTACAAACACCACAAGGACGAAACCAGAGTCAAAACACTTTTTCGACTACAGCTACAGGTTTTTGCCAGAAAAAATGTGGACTTCTTCATTGCAGAGGTAAGCCTAGGATTAGGAAGAGCTTATTCTGACACGTGTAACTGCAAAGTCTTCAACTTTCGTTAGGGTATTGAACTGCCTTCTGCTCGCCTTTCCTCTGCGCAGATGTCAAAGGTTTATTTAAATGCGCTGTAGTCAAGGCCAACATTCCCTCATGTCTGTGCTTTACGTGAAGCCAGAGGACAGGGGAGGCCTGACCCTGGCCTTTGTTTTCTAAGGCTTAGTGTTGGCAGCAGCTGACTCAAGACCCTTGCCACCTGGGCCAAGAAACAGGGGGCAGCGGCTCAGAGAAGATCCTCTCCTGAGGGAGAGACCAAGCTGGAAGGTGCTTTGTGTGTGGACTGGAAACCGTGAGGGAGCAGAGTGAGGGCACTGGGCGGACCCTCAGGAGTTTCCTTCTCCTCCATCCACACCACGCTCACTCTGCCGCTCTGCTTTCACGTGGGAGTGACATTGCGAAGAAAAATGCACTAAGAATTGGTCACTAATAGGAGATGAAGGCCCAGAACATTCTCTTCCCTCCAGCTAAAATGAAAGCTCTCATTCCTCCACTTCCCAAAACAGCTGCTACTGCCGGGAGTCAAGCTCAACCTAAGTCTTAATCCTGAATAAGAAAAATAGCCTCCAAACTGTTAGTTCCCCAAGCAACACCACCATTACTTCTCCTCCCCTGCCAGCCCCCATCCTCCTCCTCCTCCCCCGTTTTTCTTCTTCTTTTAGATGCCAGAAGATGCATGCACACCAGACAGAACGCTAACCCCGTGGGCCTGGTCATGCCACAGTCCTTTTTTCTCCACTGTGCATCACATCAGGATCCTGGGCTTGTGTGCACATGTCTGTTCTGTTCTTCAAACCGTCAGGCACAAACTGCAATCAGCCACGTGGGAGCTGGCTCCCTTCGCACACTTAATGCTGCACTGCAGGCTGGCCTCCCCCGCTCACCCTCCTGAACTCCGATAGCGGCCTTGCGTCAGCAACCTTCCCAGGGGTTGGGTGTGCCAGAGCTCACTAATCTGCCCAGAACAATCTCCTGCAGAGACTGTTCCCCCAAGTGCTCCAGATGAATGGGAACACAACACCGTCACTTCTCACGCATTCCTTCTGCAGAATTTGCTTCTAAGTCCAGAGGGAAAAACAGGAAGACTTACACTGGCTTTTCTCTAGTTACCTCAATGTCAGCTTTTCAACTGTGGCATGTAAGGGAAACATAACCCTGGAGAAGCACCCCTAAAAATGACGTGGGGTTATCAGACAAGGTGTCCTGTCCACTGTTGGTAAAGAAACTGAGCCGCTCCCCTCCCTTCTGTGTCTCGATCTTCTCATTTGGGGAAAGAATCATATTCCCCTTCCTGCTTGATGGAGCACTTAGGAATATCTAACTAGAAGTGAATGTTAAAAGCACTTTGAAGTAGAAAGCATGATAAACTATTCATTATTTTTCAGCAATTACCCCAGTTCCATAAAAGATGAGTCCAAAACTTATTAGTAAAACTTCCATTCCTTCCAGATTATTATATTAAGTACTCAATTACTTTAAAAACATTTGGTGTGTGTGTGTTTTCCCTAGCCGTCATTATCTCACTGAATTGATGATCCTTGAATGAAAATGCACGTATTATTGTTAAAGAAATTAAAAGACTGACTCAGAAAGGTATACTTCTGTCGGTCTGCTAGGGACGCATTCATTTGCAAGTTTTATCACCTCCTAGCTAGTTGGTAATTTTTATGACCATTTTTGCAACATTTGCGTTCTGCCATTCAAAATCTGCTTTATATGTAAAGAGTGACATTTCTCTTAGTATTTTGAGCATGTTGAAGAAGCTGTGTGGGCTGTGGAAGTCCTGAAAGAATTTGATAAACCTGTGGCAGTTACCATGTGCATAGGCCCGGAAGGAGACATGCGTGGCGTGACACCAGGAGAATGTGCCGTGAAGCTGGTGAAGGCTGGTAATTTGGATGCATAATGTGATAAACCACTCAGTTTTTGCTTGTTTAATTAAATAAAGGTTGCTTTTTTTTTATTTTAGAGGTTTTTGCTATAGGGCGCGTGTGCTCGCCAGACAGACAGAGAGAGACAGAGAGACAGAAAGCGAGAAATCACCCCCCAGGGGGGATGGCCACGCCACAATCCCTTCTCCTCCGTTCTCCTCTCGGGATCTTGGGCACACACCCACATGCGCCTGGCGGGAGTTTAAGCCGCCGGGTCCGAGATGCAAACCTCAGTCGACTACGTGGGAGTCCAGCGCCACAGCCATTACACTAATTGCTGGTCCCAAATAAAGGTTGCTTAATATTGTGAGAGCACTTTGGAAATAAAAGAATGAACTAGAGCAGGGCAGAGGGGCAGCAGGTGGCATGGAGGTTAAGGTGCTGGATTCCCACATGGCTGACTATGGTTTGAGTCCCAGACCTGCTAACTTGAAACTCGTATCAGTGCATGTGTGTGCATGCCCAAAGTCCCAGAGGAGAATGGAGGAGGGATTGCAGTGTGGCCCTTTCCCCTGAGGGTGCTTTCCCCCTGGGGTTGATTTCTCACTTTCTGTCTCTGTCTTTCCAGTGAGCACATGCACCCTATAGCAAAAATCTCCCTTCAACCCCCCACCAAAAAAAGAACTGGAATCAATTTCATTATCTATAAAATTTGGAAGGTACGGGCGCGTGTGCGTGCGTGCCCAAGATCCCGAGAGGAGAAGGGACTGCGGCGTGACCATCCCCCCTGGGGGGTGATTTCTCGCTTTCTGTCTCTATGTCTCTCTCTGTCGGTCTGGCGAGCGCACGCACCCTACAGTGAAAATCTCTCAAAAAAAAAAAAAATTTGGAAGGTAGAAAGGAATAGCTAATCTTTAAAGTACCTTCTAACTATTAAAAATAAGTAAATAAACAACAATAGCATGTCAAAATTCTTTATTTCTCTGCCTAGGGGCTTCCATCATTGGTGTAAACTGCCGATTTGGGCCTGGGACCAGCTTGCAGACCATAAAGCTCATGACAGAAGGCCTCAAGGCTGCAGGGCTGAAAGCACACTTGATGGTGCAGGCCCTGGGGTTCCACACACCTGACTGCAACAAAGGAGGGTTTGTGGATCTCCCAGAATACCCCTTTGGTAAGTTCAGGTGCATATTAGAGGTCCTGATATTTCTTGTTGTGACAAAATTCAAACAGCTATAATAAAGTGTGTGACAGTTGTACAATTCAAGTCTGCAGAAGACAAAAACATTTGATGTTAATCAAAAACAAATTGTCTGGGGCTGGTAGGTGGTGTGGAGGTCAAGGCAGCTGAATCTCACATGGCCAAATGCACCATTTGAGTCCTGGAACCGGCAGCTTGAAAACATACGAGGCTCGTTTGCATGCCTACCTGAAATCCCAAGAGGAGATTGGAGGAGAAGGGATTGCAGCATGACCATCCCCACTTGGGAGTGATTTCTCACTTTCCCTCTCTGTCTCTCTCCAGTGACTGTACATGCCCTGTAGCAAAAATTATAAAAGTTAAAAGATAGCATAGTGCCTGAAGAATGCATAATCTGGGAACCAGCAGTTAGCGTAATGGCTATGTCGCTGGACTCCCATGTAGTCGACTATGGTTCGCGTCCCGGACCCGGTGGCTTAAAACCTACACCAGGCGCGTATGTGTGCGTGCCCAAGATCTCGAGAGGAGAATGGAGGAGAAGGGATTGCGGCGTGACCATCCACCCGGGGGGTGATTTCTCGCTTTCTGTCTCTCTGTCTCTCTCTGTCTGGTGAGCGCACGTGCCCTATAGTGAAAAACCTCTCAAAAAAAATAATAATAAAAGAATGCATAATCTAAAGTTTATAGCTTTTTAATTGGAAAAAAAAAAGTATTTGCCAGAACATCTATGGGAGAGTAACAAAAATAACTATTGTATTACAGGACTGGAACCCAGAGTGGCCACCAGGTGGGAAATTCAAAAGTACGCCAGAGAGGCCTACAACCTGGGGGTCAGGTACATTGGCGGGTGCTGCGGATTCGAGCCCTACCACATTAGGGCAATTGCAGAGGAGCTGGCCCCAGAGCGGGGATTTTTGCCCCCAGCTTCAGAGAAACACGGCAGCTGGGGAAGTGGTCTCAATATGCATACCAAACCCTGGATCAGAGCAAGGTAGGAATTTTTAAAGTAATATTCTTACTCTTTTTTTTTTAAGTTTATTTCTTTATTTCCACCAGAGAAAGACAGTGGCACCTCCAACAGGATCTTCATGCCATGATCTGCCCCCAACCTCAGCCAGCCTCAATCATGGGCACACATGTACATCCGGCATGTACACCTCACCTCATGAGGTGAGCAGAGGACGTCCCACATGCATCCAGCATTGCAGAGCGTTAGGCTGCCCGACCCTCTTATTCTTTAACCTCATTTTATGTATTGCTATGAACACTATGCATATGCATGGCCATGCAAATTCTAAATGTAAAGAAAGTATACATGAAGGGTAAAGTTGACTCATTCCTGATAACCAGTCTCATTCCCAGAGGTGCCTGTAGTCCATTTGGGCTGTTATAACAAAATATCATAAACTGGGTGGCTCATAAGCAACAGAAATGTATTTCACACAGTTCTGCAGGCTGGGAAGTCCAAGAACAATATGCCAAGATTTGGTGTGTGGTGAGGGCCCACTTTCTCACAGATACCACCTTCTTGCTGGGTCCTCCATGACAGAGGACAAAGGCAGCTCTCTAGAGTCTCTTTTATAAGGGCACTAATTCCATTCACGACAATTCCGCACTCATGACCTAGTCACCTCCCAAAGGTTCCCAACTCCTAATATCATGTTGGTGACGTTTCGACATATGAGTTTTGGGAAGATACAAACATTCTGACCGTAGTCCTGTTTCTCGTTTGTGTGTTGAGGTCTTGTCCTCCCAGTTCTTGTTTTATCCATTTTAAGCAGTAATAGCTAATAACTTTTTTTTTTTGAGAGGTTTTTGCTATAGGGCGCGTGCGTTCGCCAGACAGAGAGAGACATAGAGACAGAAAGCAAGAAATCACCCCCCACGCCGCAATTCCTTCTCCTCCATTCTCCTCTCGGGATCTTGGGCACGCACATACATACGCCCGGCATGAGTTTTAAGCCACCGGGTCCGGGACACAAACCCCGGTCGACTACGTGGGATTCCAGCGACATAGCCATTACACTAACTGCTGGTTCCCGCTAATAACTTTTTATGAAAACTGAGGAACTCAAATTGCTTAGTCTTTACATTCACCATCTGTGCTTTTTCCCAATTTTGATTCACTACATTTTAATTTCTTCTGTTGGGTATCATTTTAGGTTAAAATTATATATTTAAGTTCCTTTCTTTCTTTCTTTCTGTTAGAGGTTTTAGCCTTAGGGCATGTGTGCTCTCCGGAGAGAGAGAGACAGAGACGGTGAGAGAGAAAGTGAGAAATCACTCCCCCTGGGGGGGATGGCTATACCACAATCCCTTCTCCTCCATTCTCCTCCTGGGATCTTGGGCATGCATACACATGTCCCTGGAGTGAATTTCAAGCCACCAGGTCCAGGACTTGAACCACAGTCAGCCATGTGGGACTCTAACAATGTAACTACTATGTCGTCTGCTGGCCCCAAGTACTTATTTCTTTTCTTTTCTTTTTTTTTTTTTTTTTTTTTGAGAGGTTTTTGCTATAGGGTGCATGCGCTCGCCAGACAGAGAGAGGCAGAAAGCCAGAAAAGCAAGAAATCACCCCCCAGGGGGGATGGCCACGCCGCAATCCCTTCTCCTCCATTCTCCTCTCGGGATCTTGGGCACGCATGCACATGCGCCCGGCGTGAGTTTTAAGCCACTGGGTCCAGGACATGAACCGAGGTCGACTACATGGGAGTCCAATGACATAGCCACTAAGCTAACTGCTGGTCCCCCAAGTACTTATTTCTTAATCCATCAATGTAAGGCAGGATCTCTTGGCTCAACTTTCTGTAAAATAAGAATTAACTACCTTCTTCTTCTCTCTGTCATCTACCTCTTGGCTGCTTTAAGTTATACCATTACTTTTACATCATCAAGGTTTATAGCTATTATGTTGTCTTCTGTAATTATAGTTAAGTCTTCTTAGCTTCGTCTGTAAGTTCTAAAAATGTAAAGCCAGGACCAACAGATGGTTTAATGGTTATGTCACTGGACTCCCACATAGTCGATTGCAATTCCAGTCCTGGATTCACAGGCTTGAAATATGCTGGGGCACGTGTGCGTACGTGCCCAAAATCCTGAGAGGAGAATGGAGGAGAAGGGATTGTGGCATGGGCATACCCCCTGGGGGGTAATTTCTTACTTTCTGTCCCTCTCTCTGTTTCTCCAGCAAGCACAAGAGCCTGATAGCAAAAATCTCTCCAAAAACAAAGAAAAAGTAATGCCAGGAAATAACATTTATAATATTATTACAATTGTCATATTAAGCAAGTAAGACTCATATAATCACAACTCAGACTTGAACCACAGTTGACTAAATGGAAGTCTGGCAACGTAACCATTATGCCATCTGCTGGTCCCTAGAACAACTCTTCTAATGTAAAAGTATTTAGATTATCAAAATAGGCAAAAAATCATTTAGTCAAACTTATCTTCTGAGACACATGGATATTTGTCAGAAAAGATGGTTTCTATAGGTATCATTTATTTTAAGTACCAAGTATAAGGTAATTCAAAGGTGAGGAAAGCACAATTTGGTGACAATTAAAATAGTTTAAATAAATGAGGCATAGCTTAATTATCACCTAGGGATCCTTAAAATGTATTGGCCATTCAAAATAAAGGTAGGTACTCTTAGCACCTTTACTTCCCAAACCTACTGAGGTTCACAGAAAATTTATAATGACCAGAAACCTGTATAAATCCCAGATTTCTGACATTTCAGCATTCAGAAATAATCACTTATTTATCAACTCATAAGTAAAGTGGGAAACGGTAAAAATATATTTAACACAAATGTCTGTATATCAATCTGTCAATCTCTAAGTGTATTTGGCAAATACACACACACATACATACATACACACATCTAACATTTTGGACTTAAAAATATGGATCTGAATTAATTATGTATATTTGAAACCACAGGGCTAGGAGGGAGTATTGGGAAAATCTGCTGCCAGCTTCGGGAAGACCTTTCTGTCCATCGCTCTCAAGGCCAGATGCCTAGGGAGTAGTGAAAGAAACACAAATAGTAGAATGGAAAGAAATTGCCCTCAAGGCCGGTCTGGGACTCTTCCTCGCCTTTACCCTCGCCTGCCTTGCTACGTCCGGCTGCTGAGCCACCGCTGTGCGGCCTCGACCAGCGACAGCCACGCATGCGTACTGAGCGTCTGCGGGGCAAGGTACCCCTGATGGGTGCTGCTGCGGTACAGAGGAAGGAAAGAGGCTAATCATAATCTGAAGATCATCAGAGTAGCCAAACGTGTCTTCATGACATCTTAACATAACCAGCATCACAGAGAACCAACTAGTGAATAGTTCAGGGGACTAAGCCAGGTGCTCCATCTAAAACATGGAGTCCACTTTCTTTATGCGTTTTGTATATTTCCAAAAACAATTCCCAAAGAAAAACTGCAATAGATGGTTCCATCTGAGCAATGGCATGATATTAAAAATGGTGTATAACTTCCAAAGTGATTACTTTCAAAGATGATTTTTGCTAAAGGTATTAGGTCCTAGTACTTTTTAAATGTGTCTTTATAATCACAAATATTTATAGATTACAAACTATTTAGGGACAAGAACCATGTGATATGCTTTTAAAATTTCTCTTTATTTAGCATTGTGCTAGACATAATATAGATGCTCAACAAAATACTCGAATTAAAAGAAGTAAAAATATTATTAGACAATATTAAAAGTCGGTTTAAATTTATCTTAACCTAATATTTTCTTGATTTATGTTTGTGGTATTTTTCTCTTCACAACCGTGTATCAATTTGTGACAATAAAATTCAAAATAATGTACCTTTTATAGTGTTTGAGTATTATGATATTGTAGGTATTCTTTGGTGTAACAGTAACATACGTGTGTGTGTATATACACATACATACATATAAACACACACATAAATCTTCCCAACAGGTATTAAAAAGAGATAAATAGTGTCTATCTTTTTAAAAATGTTTGACATATAATAATTGTACATATTTATGGAGTGTACTGTGGCTTTTCAGTACATGAATATATTGTATAATAATCAGGTCAGGGTAACTAGCATATCCATCATCACAAGTATATCAATAGATCAATAATGTTTTCTTTTGTTTTGTTTATTTTTATTTTCTCTGTGAGCAAGAGAGAGTGAGAGATATCTAATAGGGTCTTCAGATATCCCCCAAGCCTTAGCATGCCCTTATCATGGGGCATGCATGCTCAGGGAGGTCCCAGGTCACAAACTCAGGACCTTTTTCATGTGGGTTTAGTTGCGTTGCTCATGTGCCACCACCTGACTCTTTTAAGAGTCAATATCTACATTTTACTGTAATGGTTTGTCACTGGAGCCCAGCAGCTTTGTTGTTCATTGGTTGTGTTGTCAGGAGGGAGACAAATAACTCAGATCTTGTCTTCCTGGGAGAAAGAATTCAGTCAAGAAACTTACACATAGTGGAATCACAAAGTTTACAGCAGAGTGAACCAAAAGTACAAAGCAGGGGAAATGAAAGGGAAAGGACACTCCTGAGAGGAGAGGGCTGGCTCCCGGGGGGTATCCCAGCCATTATTCATCATATTTTTAACACAGTAGTTTAGAGATGAGGAAACTGAGGTCCAATGAGGCTAAGTAACTTGCCTAAGGTCATGCAATTAGTAAATGGCAGAACTGAGGTTCTAGGTCGAGCTCTGGAATCCATATTCTCAATCCACACTGCACTGCCTCTGTCATGCACAAAGATCCTGCCTTTATCAGAGTCTTTCCAAAATTTTCTGTTTCTTGAATTTAAGACATTTTTATTAACTTTCTTTAATATGAATCAACCTTTCAAAACTGATGTGGAAGATTTTCTAATACTGTTCATTTATTTTTACTTTTTAAAATTCATTGAGTATTTTGTTGATGTGGTTGTTTCTATAATACTGACAATCTGGAATTCACTCAGTGTTGCCACTATAGTATACAATCCCACCCTTTTATTTATTTACTTTTTTTTTATTATTATTATTTGTACATTAAATCACTATATATCATTTAGATTGTAAAGAGGCTTTACTCAGCACAATTTACACCTCAGTCCAGCCAACCACAAACTATAGAACTACTGATGGAAAACACTGGGGAAACTCTAGGAGACATTGGGGTAGGCAAAGACTTCTTAAGCTAGACCCCCCCAAAGCACAGGTAATAATCCCCAAAAAAGACAGGTGGGATTATATCAAAATAAGGAGTTTTTGCACAGCAAAGGACACCATAACTAGTGTGAATTGACAACCCTCGGAATGGGAGAGAATTTTTGTTAACCGTGCTCAGATAAGGGACTGATAACTAGAATACACAGGGAACTCAAGCAGCTTACCCGGAAGAAATTGATTAACCCAATTAAAAGATGGAAAAATGAGCTGAATAAACAACTCTCCAAGGAAGACATAGAACAGCCAAGAAGCATATGAAAAAATGCTCAACATCCCTCATCATAAGGGAGATGCAGATCAAAACACAATGAAATACCGCCTAACCCCAGTCAGACTGGCGAAGATTAAAAAAACAAATAATGATAAGCGCTGGAGGGGATGTGGTGAAAGGGGAACACTCCTACACTGTTAGTGGGAATGTGAATTGGTCCAGCCACTGTGGAGAATCCTGCCCTTTTAGAAATTAGAAAGTGAATCATTTACTATCATCTCAAAGCCCTTAGGGTCCTTGAAGGTGACTAATTCAAACCACTGATTAGTTGCTTGAATATCTGCACCCATCTCCAGGCCATACAGTTTCTGCATGACATATATTAACCCTGGAGAGTTACTGCATACATTAATCGGAAATCAACTTATCAACAATTTTCATGTCTTAATCCAAATACTTTAATAGTTGCGTTCTGAGCAGCAATAAAACAAATTTATGGGTTTTCCTACCTGATAGCTCTTCAAAAATTTAAACATATCTTTTACAGCTTTTCTATATTTATTTTTCCTCATTCCCTTCAACCAAAAGGCATAGTCTTTTAAGATGTGCTTTGCCATGTACTCCCTGTGTGACTTTAGAAAGTCACTTAACTTTTCTGTCTTAATTTCATCATCTGTAAAATGAGGGTAACATAGAACCATCCTCATGGCAACTTGAGGTGCTATGAAAATAAACTGAGGTGACAAGATACTTAGAAACAGTATCTGGCATATAGTAGGCACTCGTTGCAATTATGAGCATAATTATCATTTCCTTTTTTTTTCTTTAGAGATTATTTTGCTATAGGACTCATGCACTTGCCAGGAAGACAGAGAGACAGAAAGTGAGAAATCACCCCCTGGGGGGATGGCCATGCCACAATCCCTTCTTCTCTATTCTCCTCTCGGAGTTTTGGGCATGCACACACACACGCCTGGTGTGAGTTTCAAGCTACCAGGTCTGGGACTCGAACTGTGGTCAGCCACATGGGACTCCAGCACCTTAACCACTATGTCACCTGCTGGCCCTATGACTTGATTCCTAGTATCTTCATCGTCATGGTGACTGTCTTCTGAAAACACTCTGTCATCAAAGCCTCTGTGTATGTTTAGTGCCTGGTCCTTGACTGCCCACACAATAACTGCTTGCTTAGTAGATCATTATGTGAAGATGGCTGTGTATGACTCCGTGAGAAGACCAGGAGAGAAGAGGCTCCATGGGGTGGGAGCTGTCTCTTGCTCCTTCAGGTCAAACCAGGACAACTTAAGACCTTTGCTTAGTACCAACCATACAGTTTCAAGGTGGTGTAACAAATTAAAATGAATTATGTAAGGTAGTTAGTTGGTACGGACAAATTTCAAAATCTTGGTCCCTTGGCCCACAAATAATATGAATCAGTTGAGGTCCACATTAGCAAACGGAAGCTCGTGAAGACATTTCAAAAGAGTAAAGCCATTTATTAGCTTTTCAGATTGGCAATTGCAAAATACGCAAAAAAATAATTAAAACATATTCTTCAGAATGTATTAGTCATAGGAGTAGCATAGGTTGAAATATGTGAATAAGAGAAATAACAAGGAAGAGTGAATTTGAGGAAGATATGCAGACCAAGAGTAACAAGAGAAGATGAGATATGGCATGAAATCACCTGAGCAATAATGTAGCTTACATGCATTTGATGTGTGCAACCACTGAAACGTGTGTTCAAGAAAGATATTTAATAACTCCATTGTGTCTGCTTTGCTGTACGGCTTGTAGTCTGATCATTACTGATAGAACAAAAGTCATCCTAGTTTGTTAAACATGTGAGTTTCACTTTAGTGCAGTAAGTGCAGTAGTCTGGAATAGAATGTTGATGAGACCACAGCTGATAAAACCTCCAAGAGATAAGAAAGTAGACCAATAAAGTCCTGAAAAGGCAGATTTTCTATATTGAAAGATTCCAAAATGTACATAGTGATTGGATCACTCTTTAAATAATAGCAATAATCTATTAGTGAAAAATATTTCAAACCCTGTAATTCAACTCTGATTTAATAACTGTGCCTCAAAATAAAGTCCACGAAATATGCCTAGCACCCTTTTTCTCATTTATCTTGTTCTGACAATGATAGGTAATATGTTTAGATAACTCAAGACGTTGGCAAACGAGGATAAAATCAGTATTCTGTGCAGAAGAAATGGTTATACAGCTAGAAATCTCAAGAGTGGCTGGTTAGAAATTTTATATTAAAAAACATTACTTTTCTATCTATACTTTACAACTACTTTGAGAGTATAATGAAAGAAAAGATCAAGTTTATATTTCTGACAAAATCATTAAGTCTCTAAAAATGAAATGAACAAGAAATATACAAGAACTAGTGAAAAAAATCTAGGTATACAATTGTAGGAAACAGAAAAAGACTTGAATGAAACTGTACAAATGTTCACAAAAAGTCACACTATCGAAGATTGTCCAGCTACTCTAAACTAATTAATAAACATAATATAATCCTTACGAAAAGTATCATCAGGATTGACAAGAAATAGACATATGAACATGAAGAAAGAAAAACTACAGATATTGTGATAAAATTAGAAAAAGAAAAGATTTTGAAAAAAGAACAACCTTGCTGGATAATCACTATATATAACATAGAGCAATTAAAACCACATTATTTGTATTTTTTAAAAGATCAGTGGAACAGAGTAATATAAATATATGTATGGTTAACGCAGAAAAAGGGGTCAGTGAGAAACTGAATTATTTAATAATGATGAACAACTAATCAATCATCTAGAAAGAAAACATTGAATCTCCTAAAATAAGATCAATACAAATTCTAATCATGAACACGTAAAGGAGAGGCCACAAGACAACTATACATTTTACCATATGAAAAACTTAAATGTATACACACACGTGAAATCAAAACATCACAAAAAATAACCTAAAATAAAAGTCAAGTCAAATGGGAAAAACGTGAAACAAGATCTGTGACTACTACTCCAATAACAGGGTCTCTAACTGCTTGAGCTTGTTAGTTCAGTGCTCACCCCCTACTTATTCAAATACTGGAGGTGGGGGGAGCAGTTTACCTATGCGATTAGCATTCACAACCCACTCACTCTGTTTTCTTGGGCATACAGCTGTGATGAGAGGGAGATATACCTAGCTGGGGCCCAGATGAAGTCTCAGTCAGGGCCAGCATCATCACTGATCATCCTACTTGACGGTCACTATTCAGGTGACCGTCATCATCAGGAGATGAGGCTGTGGGAGTCCAGCACCTTAACCATCACACTGCCTGCTGGTTGATAATATTTCATTTAGATGAGCATGCAAGGGGAAAGACATTTTTATCTATATACTCTTTGTAGAAGTGTAAATT